GGCATCACAGCTCACAGCAACTTCCAACTCCTGGGCTCAAGTGACTCCTGCCTCAGCCTCCCAAGTAGCTCGGATTACAGGCGCCTGCCACAACGCCTGGCTGTTTTTTCTTTTTGGTTGCAGCGTTATTGTTGTTTGGAAGGCCCGGGCTAGATTCAAACCTATCAGCTCAGGTGTATGTGGCTGGTATCTTAACCGCCTGAGCCACAGGCGCTGAGCTGCATTACTCTGTATTTAACTATGGGCCAGAGCATACATTCTTCCAAGACCTTCAGTGAGGAGGGCACAAAAATCTGGGGAAAAGCAACCGCATTTCCACTAGTTATCCTTGCAAGCAAGTAATTTACAATAATCTTAAAGAGCTTTTAATGAGAAAAAAGAAAAAACAACTAAGAAGCCAAGAAAGGTGAAAGGGAGACATAATATTGCAATAGACCAGGAAGTTTCTTCCTTTTTATTTTTTTCTTTTTTGAGACAGAGTCTCACTTAGTAGCCCTGGGGTTGAGTACCCTGGCATCATAGCTCACAGCAACCTCAAACTCTTGGGCTTAAGAGATTCTCTTGCCTCAGCCTCCTGAGTAGCTGAATTATAGGCACTCGGCACGATGTCCAACTGGAGACAGGGACTTAGCTCTTACTCAGGATGGTCTGGAATTCCTGAGCTAGGCAATCCACCTGCCTTGTCCTCCCAGAGTGTTAAGATTACAGGAGTGGCTACCACACCTGCCAGGAAGATTTTTTCTAATTTAGAGACCTCCCAGTGGCTGGGGTTTATAACCCCAGATGGGAGGATCGCTTGAGGTCAGAAGTTGGGCAGGTGGGCAATATAGCCAGACCCCCAACTTTAGAAAAAAAATTCTTTTTAAGAATAGTCTAGTGCAAGCCAGGCGCGGTAGCTCACCCCTGTAATCCTAGCACTCTGGGAGGCCAAGGCGGTGGACCACCTGAGCTCAGGAGTTAGAGACTAGCCTGAGCAAGTTTGAGACCCCCTTTCAGCCAGGTTTTGTGGTGGGTGCCTGTAGTCCCAGCAAGGGGTTCCCCTGAGCCCAAGAGTTTGAGATTGCTATGGGTGCTCTACCCACACTCTGTATCTAAAAATAAATAAATAAAAATTCTAGTCAAGTGCAATAGTGAGAAGGAGAAAAAGAAATTTTTTAATTAGCCAGCCATGGTGACGTGCAGCTATAGTGCACATCTCAGGACTCAGCTGCCTCAGGAGGCAGAGGTGGGAGAATCGCATGAGCCCAGGACAGCCCAGACCACACAGACAGAGTCTATACTGGGGGCTGTCCATGCCTGACCTGGGGCAAAGCTGGGTCCTCAGACCCTTCACAGAAAAGCCCAAGAAGATTCTGATTTATGAGGGAACCCTCCATCCCCCACCAGTGACTGATTTGCACACTCAGCGCCCAAACCCAACAGTATAACGGGCTTTTGGGCAATCAAGCACGAGTCCCACAAACCACAGTTGAAGTCCTGAAGATGGCCTACAGATCACCCCACTTTTTGCTCACTGAACAAAGTAAGTGGCCTTAGCTTCCCCAACCACCATCAGCTGCTAGCACTGCTCAGCACCCCGGGAAATGAGACCTCCCACAGAAGCAGTATTAAGTCAAGACTGAAACTGACCAAGGTCAGGCACAGAGCTGTCACCCCATAAATACTTCCTGAATGAAGAGAGCAGAATGGCAATTTAAAGAAAAGGGGGGGAAGGGAAGGTGTGACAGCAGAGGATGAAAGAGAAGCCTGGCTTCAGTAGAAACTCATTTGACCCTGCAAGTTCCACAAAATCCCAATAGTCCAAAGACAGGATAGGGGAGCTGGAGTCAGGGGCAGTCACGTGATCCCCTGACTGCATCTCTGTCTCCAGGGTCCTCTCTCACTGCCCCTAGCTGGCCTGGTCACCAAACACAGGCAACCAGCTCCAGGAAACCCTCAGCTCCTCCCCTCACCCCCACAATCTCCTATAGTCCCCACACCCAACTTCAGCTTTAAAAGGCTCTAGACTTCCTCATTCTAGAAGACACCTGCCTCCCTCTTCTCTACCCCACTCTCCCTCCAGCACCTATGCTGGACTCACCTCCCTGCTTCCTGGATACAGCCCTCCCACCCTAATCCCCCGATTGTCTCCTATCTCCCTACCCATCCCAACTTCCTCTCGCTGGCACCTCCCAAAGCTGCATCTCCAACCAAAGTGCTCCCATGGCGGCTAAGTCTGTGAGGTGGACGCTCCACCAGGAATACCACTCAGGTATCCCACAGAGGGCCTCAAATCCATCTACGTCCCACACTAGCCTCCTGGTCCACCCCGTCTCAGATGCATGACCAGACACCTGAGGCAGACATCCTAAACTCCCACTGGCAGTGCAAGCTTGTGGGTGGCTGAGACTATGTACACAGCACTTTCTAAAACTGACTGCATTTTCATCAACAGCCTGTAATCCCAGCACTCTGGGAGGCCAAGGCAGATGGATTGTTTGAGCTCAGGAGTTCGAGACCAGCCAGAGCAAGAGCAAGACCTCATCTCTCCTAAAAACAGAAAAACTAGACAGGCATTGTGGCAAGTACTAGTAGTCCCACCTACTCAGGAAGCTGAGGCAGGAGGATCACTTGAGTCCAAGAGGTTGAGGTTGCTATGAGCTATATTGACACCACAGCACTCAACCCCAGGGTGACAGAGTGAGACTGTCTCAAAAAAAAAAAAAAAAAAGTCTATATCAGAGTAGGAAGAGTGAAGATAATGAGGATTGCAAGAAGCTAAATCCCCCTCCCCAACATCTCTCTGCCTGGCTCCAACATCCTCTCCCCCATCCCCCACCCAGTGACCACTCCCTGTCTAAGGGGTCTTTCTCTGATACAAATCTTACAGGTCTGGTCCTGCTTTAAATACTTTGGTGGATTCCAGCATTCCCCAGTTCCTTATGAATGCTTGGTTTCTGCTCACACCGTGCCACTGCAGGGGACGGCCCCCTCCACACACACCCCCTACTGGTGCTCACCATCCAGGCAGGCCTCTGCCCCTGTGGCTCCCTTTACCTGAAGGTCTCTTCGCCCCTCCTTCACCTATATAACACCTACCTTTCATTCAGTGAGCATTTGTTTTAGGTCAAACTGGCTTTTGTGTCACAGACCAGGAAAGATTCAATGTCAACACCTCTTATTTTCCTCCAACAAAGTGACTCTTTGGATCAGCATGATTTGACACAGACGTAGCATGATAATCATTACGAGGTCTCGGTTTCCAAATAGATGCTTCTAATTGTACAGCCGTGATTCATCCCACTTTGCACCCATGACTGTCTTACCTACCACCGGAGAAAATGCATCTAAACACACCTGACCCTGCAGCCTGTCATGGCTGCCTTGCCATCCACTCTCCCCTGGGACTCACCCATGTGGGCAGCTCCCCCAGGAAAACGGGTTCTGGAAAGCTGGGACCATCACCTTCACAGGTGTGCTCTGTCCCTCCTGCCCTTCTCTCTGCCCTTCCCCCGCCCCCATGCTGCTGTGGATCCAGAACTCCACAACTCCACCGGGACAGGACAAATGACCCAGGGAGAAAATGAAGGTTCAGGAAGAGGCAGCAACTGGCTGGAGGCCACACAGCAATTTTGTGGGGGTGTGGCAGTCAGGCCCTGGGGCCAAGGACCTACATCTTAGGACTTCCAGACCAGGCCTCCTGCAATTCCGTGGCCTGTGATCCTCTGTCCCAAACACCACACATAATTAGAAGTTATAATCCTGTAATTCCGTGATGACATCTTTCAACTTAAATATACTTCAAAACTACTTTCTTTTTTAATGCTAAAAGCATCTTAACAAAAAAAACGAACTCTTCCCACTCCATCCCCACCTGTCTCATATTGCTCCTCACCAGTGAGCAGCGACCCAGAGTGGTCACCTGGGAGCAGGGAGACGCAAAGACCATGCAGGAACTGGATTGTTAGGCTCTGAACAATTAAGAATTGATTGTTCTGTGGGCAACAGTTTCACTTCCCTATTTATGACTAGGCACTGTGCCTTCGGTCACATCTGTAATTAAAAAATCAACAATAATATCTCAACCCATCCAGTGATCCCCCGCCAAGCGCCAATGGCTAATTTTAGACTCCTTGGGGACCTGAAACCGGGCGTGTAAGGGAGTCACCATAACTCCCAGGCTGCAAGCATCTTCGTGGCCCAGGTTCTACCGCCTGTGGGAATCCCTGGGCCCTCGCCCCGTGGGCTGGGGTCGCCTTAGAGGGACTTGAGCTACGCGACTGTTATCTCCAAGGGTAGAGACCGCGGCGCGCCCCGAGGAGCGTCCGGGACGTGCCGAGCGCCAACGGAGCCCGCACTCGCCGCCCGCCCCGCGCGGATCTCTCGGACAACCAGCTAAATCCGCTTTAACATAAAGTGAAAAGCTACAAGACCGCTGCCCTCACTTCGGCTGCGCGCACCACTCCCTCCTTGGCAACTCGGAGCAGAGGGCAACGCAGGAGGTCCCCTCCCACCGACCGCTCCCTCCGCCCCCCGAAAAAGTCAAAGAGGCGGACGGTGGAAGAACTTCGGATGCAAAATGATAATGCCACCCGACCTGGGACGGTCTTTCAATCCCTGCCCACACCCCCCATGGGGTGCTCCGGTGGAAGCCAGTCTCGGATTCCCACCCGCCGCGGGGCCAAGGGAGCCGGCGCAGCTCGGGACAAGTCCCTAGGCACGTAGGTCTGCCGGCGGGGGCAACCCGAGCGCCCCTGCGGACCCCATCCTTCGCGCGCACCTGCGCCGGGCGGCCCCAGGCGCACCCCACTCCCAACCCCGAAGGCCACCTGCTCTGGGCGCGAGCACACCCGGGTCCTCCCCGCTCTCCCCTCCCCCCCCAACCTCCGCACGGCCGGCACGAGGCCAGTGCGCCCCCTCCCCCTCTTGGCCGACCCCGGCCGCGCGCTCTCGCAGCCCCCTGCTCCGCCTGGCAGGGAAGGGGGTCTGTTAACCACCACTGCCCGCCAGAAGCCGCCCACCTTCCGAAAGTAGCCGTCGCTCTCCTTCTCCAGCGGCTGGGGGGCCGCAGGCAGCAGGGTATCGGTCATGCTGGCAGCGCGGGCGCGGAGCTCAGACTGAAGCTCTGCGGCCGCGAGCGGCGGGAGAGGGCGTCGGGCCCCGCCCGAGACCAAGCCCGGAGCCCCGGACACCCGCCCCGCCCCGACCACGCCCCCAGCCACGCCCCTCAGTCTGTGGCTTCCCAGCCGGTGCCCCCGGGCGGCTCTTGGCTGCGCTGAGACCCCGGGTCCCTGGGCGGGTCACCTGCGGGGTCCTGAGCTGGGCGTTGTTGCAGGCTTGACCCCGGAGGCCCCGCGGTGTCGCAGTGCACCGGACAGGGGTCTCAGCGGCTGCAGCGAGACCTAGACTGGCGACCTGCCCTCTCTGGAGACCTAGAAGGGAACAGGCGAAGTCGCCGTCCCTCCTGGGAGGAGCCCAGGCGCCAGGGAACCGGGACCAGGCCGACGCCGCCACGTCGAGAGCGCGGCGGGAGTTCTGGGCCCTGGGCCAGGCGGTGGGGAAAACATTCCTGCAAGAGGGGTCGCCGAGGCCCAGTCCGGAACACTGAGGGAATGTTGGCTACGCCACCGAGCGCAGTGGCCGGGCTACTCGGGCTTGCAGGCAGGCTCATTAGCGCGGTGGTCAGCACGGCGATCCCCAATCCCGTGTGCCGAGACTAGGCGGATGCGCTGGGGGTCGCCGACGGAGGTGGGCAAAGGGACCACCGACTGAGGGAACGGGGGGGGAGGGGCGAGGGACTGGGTGGATGTCCTTGCCCTAGGTCCTTAACCACCACTCCAAACCTCACTTTTCTCGCCTGCAATGTGGGTGGGGTCCGATTACTCTTTCTCCGGCTAGTGGAAGGTATTACAACTAACGTGCACGTTAAAGCTGTCAGTTGGGGGCGTACAGCATGCTTAGTTTAGGAGCTAAAGGGGGATCTTTGGACATGGGGCTCGCACCAGTCTCCCACCCACTCCCCAGCTCGCGGGTAGACTCCGGGGGCGGATGCCAGGCGGAACCCGGCGCCAGCAGCCGCCCACCTGCAGCTAATCCTCCCTCCCCCATAGAGGGACACCTGTGTGCGGCTGCTGCTGCATTTGGCGGTCGCAGTAGAGGCCACAGGAAACGGAACAAAGTCTGTTTTCAAAACAAACCCAGAGTTTCCTTATCTTTAAAAAAATAATAAAATAAAATGCTGGCTGGGCATGGCGGCTCACGCTGTAGTCCCAGCACTCTGGGAGGCCAAGTAAGGTGGATGGCCTGAGCTCAGGAATTCGAGACCCGCCTGAGCAAGAGCGAGACCCCATCTCTAAAAACAGAAAATCTAGCCGGGCGTGGTGATGGGCACCTATAATGCTAGCTACTTGGGAGGCTGAGACAAGAGGATGGCTTTAACCCCAGAGTTTGAAGTTGTTGTGATTTGACATTAGGGCACACGACCCAAGGTGACAGAATGAACTCGTCTCAAAAAAAAAAAAAGTATTGTTTGAGATTTGTAAAATAAACAGAGGCAACAACCAAGCACCCATAACTAAGTAAATGTCAATAGCGAACCGCCTCCTCACTGCCAACCTCCAGAAGCTGCACAAGTAAAGACCTTTTTGCAAAGGGCAGGTTAATTCCAACAAAGAACCTGTAGTCCTAGCTAACTCAGCTCTGTGACAAGGTGTACAGGGAAACTCTGGCTAATGCAAGAGCTTCCTTTCCCTCCTAGGGTCAGAAGCAACTAAAGAGCTAATCTCAGTGGCTTTAATCCTTTGCCCGGGAAATACACCAGCCTAGGCTGGGAATTGAAAACAGCCACTTGAGTTGTGGGAACCCCAGAGTGACAGATTACACTATTACATAGTGCAATATTACATGTTATAATACTAATAACGTTTCTCAGTGAGCCAGGGAGTTTATAAATACAGTATTATGTTTTAGGACCCTTTTGCATGGACCAGCAAAGGTGACAGGTTGAAAAGAGTAAGGCTTAGGCTCTGCACCTGTGGCTCAGCAGCTAGGGCGCCAGCCACATACACTGGAGGTGGAGGGTTCGAATCCAGCCTGGGCCTGCCAAACAACAATGACAACTACAACAACAACAAAAATAGCTGGGTGTTGTGGCAGACACTTATAGTCCCAGCTACTTGGGAGGCTGAGGCAAGAGAATCACTTGAGCCCAAGAGTTGGCGGTTGCTGTGAGCTGTCTATTGAGGGCGATAGCTTGAGACTCTGTCTCAAAAAAAATAAATAAATAAAAGGCAAGAGTTTTAAAGAAAAGGGTAAGGCTTAGAGGTAAGAAATGGCCACAGATGCACCAGGTTAGTGGCTGAATGAATCCTCTATCACCTACAGATTTTGGGGGGGGGGGTTTAGAGCCAGAATCTCACTTTGTCACCTTCAGTAGAGTGCTGTGATGTCACAGCTCACAGCAACCTCCAGCTCCTGGGTTAGGTGATTCTCTTGCCTCAGCCTCCCAAGTAGCTGGGACTACAGGGGCCCACCACAACACCCGGCTATTTTTTTGTTGCAGTTTGGTGGGGACCGGGTTTGAACCCACCACCCTCAGTATATGGGGCCGGCACCCTACCCACTGAGCCATAGGCACCGCCCACCTTCAAATTTTTGCTATCTCCTTCTGCACCTGAAAGCTCCAGTTGCCTTTACAGAGTGTCACATTTACCTGTCACTTGTACTGTTGTTGACTTCACAGTTTTCCTTATTTAAAAAAAAAATTTTTTTTGGAGACAGTTTTAACTTGTCACCCTCGGTAGAATGCCATGGCATCACAGCTCATAGCAACCTCAAACTCTTGGACTCAAGCGATTCTCTTGCCTCAGCCTCCCACATACTGGGACTACAGGTACCCAGCTATTTTTAGGGATGAGGTCTGGCTCTGGCTCAGGCTGGTCTTGAACCCATGAGCTCAGGCAATCCACCTGCCTCAGCCTCTCAAGTGCTAGGATTACAGGCATGAGCCACTGTGCCTGGCCCTTAATTTTTCTTTATTTTCGAAACAGAGTCTCACTCTGTCACCCTGTGTACAGTGCCATGGTGTTATAGATCACAGCAACCTCAGTTGTTTGGGCTCAAGCAGTCCTCTTGCTCCAGTCTCCAGAGTATCTGGGACTACAGGAACCAGCCACACAACATCTGGCTGGCTTTTCTATTTTTAGTAGCAATAGGAGTCTTACTCAGGCTAGTCTCAAACTCCTGAGCTCAGGCCATCTACTGGTCTCTGCCTCCCAGAGAGCTAGGATTACAGGTGTGAGCCACTGTGCCGAGCCTTCACAGCCTTCTTTAAAATTACTGTATTTGGGGGCAGCGCCTGTGGCTTAAATGAGTAGGACGCCTGCCCCATATACCAGAGGTGGCAGGCTCAAACTCGGCCCCAGCTAAAAACTGCAAAAAAAAAAAAAAAAATTACTGTATTTGGGCTTGGCGCCTGTAGCTCAGCAAAGTAATCCCAGCTACGTGGAAGGCTAAGATAAGAGAATCACTTAAGCCCAAGAGTTTGAGGCTGCTGTGAGCTATGATGCCCCAGTACTCTGCTGAGGACAACATAGTGAGTCTCTGTCTCAAAAAAAAAAAAAAAAATTGAGTGG